TCTAATGTCTTCGATCTCTGTTTAGAAATTGATTTAACCCCTTTCGCAACGTTAGCAAATTTAATAATGTCTTTATTTTTCACGATTGTCGATATCGTCGTTCTCGGAATACGGAATGCAACAGTTAAATCTCGTTAAATCTCGAACACGCGTGCCACCTTCATATTTCTCAACAATCTCTTTTTTCAGTTCCGTTGTGATTCTAGTCATTTTTTTATTTTTCTGTTGCCCTTTTGCAATTTATGATTAACAAAAATAATAAAATGTTACTTACAAATTAAAATCAGAAGAAATTTAAGAAAGTTATAAACCGTAGGACCGCGAATGTCTAGTCTAGTGTAGTACACCGATGGAGCTACTTGTTCATAGATGGCACGTATAATTGAATTAAGTCGTATACCGAACAAAAGTCGTATACCGAGCAAAATTTGTTTCGTCCAAACAGGACGTATTCCGAATTGGACGTATTCTAAAGCAGACGTATACCGAGGTTCCACTGTATAATTTTTTATGGATCATAAAGTTGAAGGAATACATTTTAAATTATAAATTTCAGTAGAATCTAACAATATTAAAATTGAACCATAATAATTCCAAGTATAAAAAGTTGTTTAATTAAAAGCCTATGATTCTGATTAAACAACTTACTATATATTTATTATTATTTATTAGGTATTTTAAATTTGTCTTGGAATTTAAAAATAATTAAACTGTTTGCAGTGTTTTAAAGTTAGAATATTATTTAATTTTTTATTGTTTTTAAACATACTTAATAATACATTATTTTAGCAAATTTATCCATATTATCTAATAATTTCAAATAAAAATTATTATTTAATTTCAGGAGAAACTAAAGACATTTATTGGTTGGCTCAATGTTTATATCTAACTAAACAGTTCCATAGAGCTGCTCTCTGTATTAAAAACAGAAATTTACATAAGGTAAAGCACAATCTTATAAAACGTTTTGCTAAACTTATTACTTTTTTAAAAGTTTTACTTTATAAATCTATATCATATGATTGATATAATTTATTTAAATGTTCTACATAATACATAAAATATTTATTTATCAAAGAGAAATATAAAAATATTAATCACATAGGTAACCTTTGCTTTATCCTAGTAGAATATTAACAACAACAAAAGTTTTCGAACAGCTTGACTGTTCTGCTTTGGGGGCAGCGCAATATACCAAATGCTACAAAATGACAAAGATACTGTGGATCAGGTTAGAATTCCTGGAATTTACAGCATACCATTAATGAATGATAGATTTGACAAAGATTTAATTTACATAGGAGCCACAAACATAAATCTTAACAGCAGGATTAAAGAACACAAATATGATATTGAGAGAGAGAGACAAACAACAATTCTATCCATATATGTCTCAGAACCAAGAACTGAAGCTAAACTGGAGCAAACAATATTAATAAAAAAACTGTTGTAGTAAAGAAGAAACTAAATTTTTAGGGATATTAGAGATATTTAAAATAGCCTTGAAGAAGGAGTGCATTAATATATGGGATGCAGATTCATTATTGTTTGCTTGGAAAACTTTTTATGATAACCAGAGGAAAAAAGATTATAGTAATAACACAATTGAATGATGGGGTGTTAATAAATGGTGAAAAATATATTAGTAGTAAAGTTTAAAGTTCGTAAATTTCAAAATAGTTTAAATTTTGAATTGAATTTGAATGTAGAATGCTATAGAATAAGCATTCTAAATGGAACACATTTGTAACTGACCTGAAGCAGGGTATTCAAGCTGTTTGAAAATGTTTGTTGTTGTTAATGTTCTATTGGAATAAAGCAAAGGTTACCTATGTGATTAATATTTGTACATTTTTTCCAGTTTGATTTTTCTTTCTTTTTAATTGGTATAAAGAAGATATTACTTTTGTGTGCGTTTGTTTTATAAATTTATGTTTTGGTAATGAAATATGCAGTTAACTGTNATTACTTTTGTGTGCGTTTGTTTTATAAATTTATGTTTTGGTATGATAAAACATAAAGTTATATATAAAATTTTAAAATATAATTAAAAATAAAGACTATTCAAAAATTTAATTCAGATGAATTTTTATTGTTTTTACAGGTAGATCTAGGTTGTTTATATCTAGCAGCAAAATGTCATGTAAGTGTTGAGAAAATTATACAATTATGGCCATTTTAATAAATTGTATAAACATTTTTGATTTAATTTTACTAAAAGAATAACAAATTATTGTTAAATGTAAATTTTAAAATTATATTTTAGTATGCTGGTAAAGAGTATCGCCAAGCTCTAGATATGTTAGAACAAACAAATTTTAGAAGTAATGACCAAAATGAATCATTGAAAGCACATGAAGAAAGAAAGGTGTTTTTTTTTTTCTGCATATCATTTAAAATGATTCTTTTAATGGAAATTAGTTTTTATTAATAAATTTTTTATTTTCAGTTGGAGAGTTCAATTCTTCTACTTAAAGGTCAGTTGTATGAGGCAATGGACAATCGAGGATTAGCTGCAGATTGTTTTCGTGAAGCTTTACGTTTAGATGTTTATTGCTATGAAGCTTTTCAGTCACTTGTTCAACATCAAATGCTTTCTAAAGAAGAAGGTAATTTTACAGTAAATCCAAATAACACATTGGAACTAGATTAAATCATTTTCATTCCCCACTTGTCTAGCATAGGGATTTGCATGTTAAATCAAACTGGTTAACTCAAATTCATCGAACTGTTTAACTGGAATTGAGTTTTGATACAATATTTTCATAAACACTCCAGAATTTTAATTTGTTAAATAAAATAATTAATGTTCCTTTATCAAATAAACTAATCAGAAACTTTCTATAAAGCACAGGACCACATACAACTAAAAGTAAACATTGTGTCATGACAACAGGCAAGGGTGATAGCTTCCAGACAGCATGTTTTACCCTGCATACAATAACTGGATCAACTATTTGAGAAAGCATTCCTCAGTAGCTTATTTAACTAACATTGAGTGGTTTACATTAACACACAATTATTACACAATAAGTTCCACAAAATATTAATAAGGCTAGTTTATTATGGGTCACCGATAAACCAATGCATAAAATTTTGATTTTTAGCCAAACCTCCATAACTTGAAACTTTTTAACTCAAAGTCCGAAGTTTTTTCCCTGGCCAATTCAAGTTAAACAGGTTCCACTTTATTTAATATACTGTATTTTTGAATACAGTTCTAATGAAAATATTTTTTTATTAACAGAAGAAGAACTTTTACAATCACTACCATTTTCCAAACACTGTGTGGAAAAAGAAGAAGCTGAATTAGTGAAATTTCTTTATCAGACTCAATTAAAAAAGGTAAGCTTTTTAATTTAATTTGTTAATTTTACAAATAAACTAAAATAATAATTATTTCATTTTTTAGTATGATCAACCATCAGAATTTGTTATTCCAAATGAATTGAATGGCCTCAAAGATAATTTAGATTTGGCAACTGTAATGGCAGAACGTTGCTATTATAATTGTGATTATCAGCAATGCTTTTCTATAACATCTGCGTAAGTTTTTATAATTCATTTTTTTAATTGCATAAATTAAGATAATTTTGTTTGAAAAATTTTTATTCATGTTTATATAAATAGAATCAATTTGATTGTTTATAAACATTTAATGACTTTGTTAAAATTAATTAAAATAATTAAAACTACAGTACAGTGTAATATGTATCAATATAAACTTAACATATATTTTTTTCATTGAAACCATGTCTTTATTAGTGTCTGTTTTATTCACAATGAAATTAATGATTTAAGACTTCAGACTATTGACACATCCACATTTATCCAAGACATAAACATATTATATATTTTGTTATTAAATTTGCTAAGTTTTGTAATATCAGTTAAAATTATTTATAATAGCCTTTAGTCTAAACAAGTAAATATAAAAGTATATTATCAGTTTTAGGATGAAAATAAGTAATAAAACAATACTTTCTAAAATGCTTTAAAATATTGTAATTATGTTTATGATCATTAATATTAAAAATAAAAGATACAGTCTGTTAAACTGAAATTACCAATTATTCATTTCAATGTTCTGGGATACATATTTTGATGACTGACCTTGTAGGCAGCTTGGCCATCAAAATTAAAAACTTTCTTTAGAAATAATGAAAAAATCCAATTAAATCAAAAGTTTTAAAAATAATAAAGTTAGATCATATTAGAATTGAAAAACATGTAATGTTATTAGTCTTCATCTATTAAAAGATTTAAATGATTTTATTGCATATTATTTCTTCAGTATATGTTAAAGATCAAAATCCAAAATCAGTCAGAACCTGAATGTTCCTAGTAAAAAATGAGCTAAGTAAAACTAAACTAATTCTAAAGTGTAATTTGCAACACTAAGACATTTTTCTAAGAGTACTTTATTATGTTAAATGAGTTTAGACACTAAAATATCAAAACTAAATTAGGCAACTACTTTCATCTTCACTGATGCCTACTGATAAAAATTAATTACAGTTTACTTTACAAAGAAAGGAAAATACTATGTATTTTACAAGTATAGAAAAAAATATATCTCAAAACAGATTTATCTGAGTAGAGCAGTGTTTTTCAACCTTTTTCATTAAGTGGTACCCCTGATTGAAAAATAAAAAATCGTGATACCCTTGACCAGCAGCGGATCTAGAATCTGAATAAGGGGGGGACTAATGGGCCAGATGAATTTTTTGTGAAAACAAATATTATACACAATGCTGGGGAGGGAGTCCTCTTCCTGGGAAGAAAAATTTTAAAAATTGACAGTTTGAAGTAGCATTTTAATGCAAAAAAAATGTTTCTACGTGTTTAAAATCAAAATTTAAGTCCATTTAATTTTGTCAAAATACATACATGTAAAATAATAGTCTCATTATTGTTTTTTAAATCTAGTTTTATTATCAAATACAGTAGAGCGTCGTTTATCCGAATCAATTGGGGACTGGGGTGGTTCGGATAACGAATCATGTACGAAAAAATATATTAATTTATCCCATGTTGAAATTTNTTGCCATATATTTACTTAATTTAGCCAGCAATGAATTTATATTATTTTCAATTAATTGAAGATTCCAATCTGCATAGGTTATAACAATATCATCTGCATACAATATAATATTATTTTTAGGAATAGTTTCTATAATATCATTTATGTAAATATTATAAAGTAAAGGGCCTAGAATGGATCCCTGAGGAACACCTTTATTCACTTGAAAATGTTTAGATATTGAACTTTTTACCATAACATAGTACATACGATTTGATAAATAGGATATCAGCCACTCCAATGGCCACTCCTCTCAATCCGACTTTAAACAATTTTTGTTTTAATAATTTTATATCTATGCTATCAAAAGCCTTAGTCAGGTTGATAAACACTGCTGTTACTATATTTGAATTATTGAGACCTTCAATAATATATTGTTTAAGATGAGTTAATGCATCAATTGTAGAGGCATCTCTTTTAAAACCATACTGGTTATTAGATATAATATTATATTATAGTAACAAATCCAAAAAATCTTTTATAGAAAGCCATTTCAATTATTTTAGTTATACTCTGAATGATAGTAATTAGATGATAGCTCTCCAAGTCCTGTTCAGTTCCTTTATTTTTAAATATTGGTATTACAAGATTGTGTTTTAGCTTCTCCTGAAACCTCCCACGCTTGAAGGATTTATTAATTAAAGAAGATAATGGTAAAGTGATAATATCGCTATTTGTCTTAGAATAAATATATTTAACTTATCAATGTCTTGAGTATTAGCTTTTACCCTCATAATATAATAAAAAATCTCTTTAGGAGAAGTTTCATCCAAAACAAAAGAATCAACCATACCACATGAAGAGGAATGTGAGAAAGAATTAGTTTTTAATGTTGAAATGACAAAACCTCTTATCTTTCTATAGTGATTAGCAAAAATATTACTTAGTTTTTCTTCATTTTTAAAAGTTTTTTCATTGTACTTCAACTGATTAATTTGTATGTCCTGTGTTTTAACTGTCAATACATCGATAGGCAGACGTTTAATCTCCTGGCAAAACTCTATCGAGGAATGTATATTAGAGAATTGTCTGTCATAGTAATCTACCTGTTTTTTCCTAATTTTATTTCTGATATCTTTGGATAGCCTTCTCACTTCTGTTAATATATTTGCACATTGATCTTCTGAAATCAACACTTGTTTAGTTGTGTAAGCAATCTCTTCTTCTGGCTAATTAACTTTATTGTATCACTTGAGATAATCTTTGCCAAAAATGCCTTTCACTTTATCTTGGTTTTCTTATTTAGTGTTATAAAGGGAAGATATTTATTAATAAAAATCTGTAGGATATCCTGAAAGTAATCTGCCAATTGGTTAACAGAAAGATCTGAGGAATAATAGTAATCCCAAGCAAAACAAGCTGACGGTGCATTACGTAAAAGATGTATTGACATATTATTTATTTTCCTATGTGTTTTTAATGAATTACCACCTATTTCCATATCTCCTTGGGAGAAAGAAAAATATAGTCATATGATCCAACAATAAATCCTGGTGAATTAAAAATTCTGACTTACCAACATTGGTTAAGTCAATCAAGGAGTGAGTATCTTTATCAAATCTGATCGGTTGCCTCTGATCAGCCAATAGTGATAAATTTTCAGAAAAGCAAAAGTTTAATCACAAGTACTTATCAAAGAATTTTTAAGTAGATCTATATTAAAATTGCCAATGATAAGTAATTTATAGTTCCTTAGTTTAGTAATATTGAAATGAATTATAAAATTTACTACAGTAGAGCCTCGATTATCCGACTCAATTGGGGACTGGGGTTGGTCGGATAATTGAAAAGTCGGATAACCGAAAAGTATGATAAAATCCATTATTAGTGTAGCATATTATTATATCCCATGTAATTAGTATATTAGTATATCGCTATTAACCTACTTTGCGTTGAATTTTCATCGATGTGAAGTCTAACAAAAATTTTTTAAAATAATAATCGTTGCTATTGTATCGTTAAAAATTAGAAAATTAAGCCTCGTTTAAATACTGGCTCCCTTTCATGGTCGAATGAGTGTTTCCAGCCAAAACACGTAAAAATAATATTAAAGTAGCCAAGACATAGCCAAATATTGTAGCGCCACATCACTAGTGGACATTTTAAATTTGCTGACTAGGACGGTCGGTTAACCGAGGGTCAGATAATCAATGTCCTACTGTATAACTAAAATTAAACTGTAGTTTAAAGTTGGAGATCAGTAAACAACCACAATTAAAATTTTATTGACAGATATTGTCATCACATCTATGTTCTCTTTAGTAAATGTCAAGAAAGAATTAATTTTTAATTTTTATAAGAATTTTTTGAAAATTTTTTTAAAAATACACTATATTTAATTAGTTTTCGTTGTATTATTAATCTTTTATTTTATCAAAAGTGTTGGAAATAATATATTTACAATGAAGACATGTTATGAGTATAATAGACTATCTCAATAATATAATAGTGTGTGTATATATGTATAATTTGGCATGTTTTTCATTTAATGTTAAGGATGAATTCAATCTTTTGAGGAAAAGGGAAGGTATAAATTTGAATATAACCTTATAATGAAATTTCAATAAATTTTTAATATGAAACTAGTTTCAATTTGAAATAAAGTTTTTGTAATTAATATTATTTGTATTAAGACTGCTTATAATATTGCTTAATACAGCTTGAAAAATGCTATTATACTAGATAACAATACTTAATGACTTAAAATCATTTTATAACTGATTTTTGACTACAGATTTTTAAAAGTAATTAGTTTGCAGATATGCTTGGTACTTAGTTATATAATTTATTATAAGAAATATACTTTGTTTATTGAAAATAATAGATTTTGTTTTTATTACAGCATCATTATCAAACTGCTTTGTTTTGGGCAGATAAAGTTTCCTCTTTGTCTAATGGTAAGAAAATGTTATATTTTCATTTATGAATTTCATACAACAGTTAAAATAATGAAAATTATTTGTTGTTATTATTTTAAATATTTCATGTAAATTTGAATTTAAATTAGTTACAATCCAGATTTAACAAAATGTAGTATCATATATGTGAACATATAAGTTGACTTGGCATGGGCAATCTCAAGAATTTGAGCTCAATTCTAGTTTAGACCTATTACTAGTATATAAGGTAACCCCAAACATGTAGTAAACTGATTGTAGATTAGACATAAAATATTGATACACAATAGCTTGTAGTGATCTTATAATAAAGCTGCACTGCTCTCATTGAACATTAATTGTAATACCTTCAATATGTGATATATACAGTATATTCTACATTTCATATAAAATGCAATATGGACAACAAATCTAAATAGGAAACCACTAAAATCTTTAGTAAGTTATCTTGGTAAGAACTCTGTTATATATCAGGTCTATCAGCAAACATATTCAAGCTAAAATCAACATCTCTAATTAAAAAATAACTTACACAGCGTAGGATTATGATAGTACTGTTATGATTA